ATCTAAAACCTGATTGCCCCAACCAAGCCACACTGCCGAGTGTGGGGCGCACACCAGTTTGGTGCCCTTTCAGAGGCCGCCGCCGCCTTCTATCGATCCATATTCAGAGCAGATACTGACGCATCAATTGTCAGCCCTGCGGTCGACGCCACCACGGAGCTAGACAAGCCATCACCCTACGCGCGCCCATCATCACACATCCGCCCCCGAGACCTTGCTGCACCACGCCGCGGAGACTCCATGTCGTCGATGCATGACATGAAACGCCACTCCACCGCTAAAACCGTCCGCTGGTCCCTCAATCCAATGCACACCTCCAAGAATGATGCCCCAAGGAGGATACGGCACAAGAGCGCCGCCATCATACGATCAACTGATTAAGGGTTTCCCCCGGAGGTAGTGAGATGAGTTGGGAGCTTCACCTTTATGATGCCTTCAAGAAGCAAACAATGCAAGGACGTCGCCATCATCGGCTCCGGCCACCGGCCTAAGACCAGGTTTTCACCCGGATCTGTCTCAAGAAATCCAGCCGACAACCCGTGCACCATCCCGACCGCCTTCAAAGCCCCGGATCTAGCTGCCTAGATCCAGCGACCACCCACAATAGCATTGCCACCGTGGAAGCCCTAGCACACCGGCCATTGTTTTGTGAGAGCCACCACTGGAACCTGAGAGGAGGGCCGCCGCCCCACCTCGCCAAACCATGAGAGCCGCCGAGAGGGATCCCACGCGCTTGTCACCGTCTCTGATCCGAACTAATCCGGAGCCACAGCCACCAGATCGCCTGTGCAGATCCGCCTTGGACAGGGACAACACCATGCCATGTTGTCGCGGGAGGCCGAGCTTCACCTGTCGCCTCCTTCCAGGACCGCCGCCCCGGGATCCAGGCCGACTGCCGCCGCCGCCACCGGCCATGTTCCATCGGCACCGAATCGCCGAGCCATTGGCCACCACAACCATGGCCGTCGTGACCATGCAGATGCACCCAACGACCCGCACCACCCAAACTTTCATGTCGACCCGCCGCCTCCGCCCACCACCACGCTGTCACCGGAGGCGAGCCGCCGCGACCCGGATCAGGGAGAGGCGCCTCAACGCCGATGGGTGACCTGCCTCACCCGATCTAGACGCGCGCGGGGAAGAGGGGGTTGGTGGGTCGTTCGCCGCCCCTGTCGGCCGGCCGGGGCTTCGCTCGGTAGCTTCCTCCAGCATTGACGGAGGGGAGGACACGGTGGAGATGACCCAAGAGCGCGGTTGAGGATCTCCTCCCGGAGCCGCCCTAGCAGGGGGCGACGCGGGGGACGCGAGTGAGATCAGCATAGCCACCCTTGCATTGTCGGTATGCCTAGGGAACAGCGCAGCTTCCTTCATTGCCCTTTCGGCATGGACAATCTGAAAAGCACCGCAATGCGTGTGTTTTCGAGAACACCCATCCATCTCACTCTAGCATCTCTGATCAGATCAAGGAAGACGCGTGCCTGGACCAAGGCGGGCGTCAAAGGGCTAGGCATGATTATACTACATCCTAACCTCATGTAAGTATGTAACTAAGGGTTGAGCAACCCATCTCTCTGATCATAGCCGTGCATTCTCCCTGGGTACACAGTTTAAGAATTGCACCTTTATACTTTCTAACCCATTATTAATGAAACGATACGCAACATGCGTATTCGTGAAGAAAATAAAATAAGCTTCTAATTTTTTGGAATGATGTAACTACTACTATTTTAAATTATAATAAAACTAACTATGATGGATCTTCTCAAAATGACTAAAGTTACAAAAAAATGTAGGAAAATCTTTCAATCTATTCATCAAACATCATAGCGGTATAAAGAATACGAGAAGTGACAAAAACTACATCCATGTGCGTAGACCACCTAGCGAAATTAAAAGTACATAGATGGACAATTACTTGTAGGAAAAAATCTGGAGGCTAAAATATGTGTATTTTAGGAACGAGAACCATTTGGTATTTGCATATTAGCATGCGGGCTCTATATCTATCACTATCACTCACTATCGCTAAAAACATGTGAGAGTTTGTAGCCAAATAATAATAATAATAATAATAATAATAATAATAATAACAACAACAACAACAACAACAACATGTGGCGTTCAATCAGTACGATTTTTTTAGTAGGATCATGTGGATCCATGCACGTGGCTGGCCTGGGGGCGCGTCGATCGCTGGCGTGTCGCTGCGTCGACGGGCAAAAGGCAACAGGCAATAGGATGTGTACGTACCTAGCTGAATGCAACCGCTTTGTCCTGGTTTTCCGACGGCGAGGAACGCATGGGGAAGTCGTCTGATGATCGATATTCGAGAGAGACGAATCGTCTATCTGTCTGTCCACGGAGACGTGTGGCGGTTACGCGGGGACGACGATCACATCCTCTCCTCGTGTGGAACTCTGGATCACGTCAGAGACGCCTACGCTTTGACTTTGAGCGCACACACCGCCCTCCGCGCTCCGCTCCGTTCACAACCTCCCACGTTGGCTGACTTTCTGTGTCTATAATCCCCCCCGCTCAGCCTAGATCGTGCTTCGTGTTCATCCATCTTGGATCGACCGAATTCTCGATCAGCATCTTCTCTCAGAGATGTTAAGTCAGCTCTAGTCTTTCCCTCAAAATGCTACAAGTCCCTGAAATTTTTGGTATGGAGAGTTTAATACTACTCACTCTGTTATGAATCATAAGATGTTGTTCTAACTTATTCTGAATAGAATGTATGTACAGTTCATATATGGTTTGCATTAAAATATTCAAAGCGCATTATAACAAGTACTCCTCCGTTACTAAGGCGCTTGTTGAAATCTCTAGTGGTATTAAAATGGATACCACTGTCCGTTCCTAAGGGATACACCGTCCGAAAATACTTATCATCAAAATGGATAAAAAAAGATATACTATTTCCAAACAAAGGAAGTATGTAGGTTGAAAAACTACAATAGGTATGACTCCACCGGTCGACTCTTAAAATGTTTACAACCTCAACACCGACTTTTTTCGACCAGACCACTGATATGATCATTGCTCTGAGAACCACTTCACCACCGTGAGCATGAACGACGAGGAAGCTTCCCTTGGCAGTCTAGGGATGCAAGCGGCGTCCTGTATACCCCGCAAAACCATCAAATTAGTTCACTTCTGGCCGAAAGATTAACACTGAATTAGTTCTACGCTCTAGCCCGCAAACCCGCCCGCTCTGCATCCAACGCTTTACGTACTTATCATCTCGCTGTTAGTATTTGCCATTGCTTCATATGCGTATATGCCTTTTTTATTTATTTTTTGGCACAAGATTGCATATATAGAGTTTTTTTTGCGAGAGCATATATATAGTTCTTCTCCTACACGTTGAGTTTTACTGGCACACTTGTCATGGTGTTAGTTTTTTTTAGAGGGGTGTCATGGTGTTGAACTGTTGATGAACTTTTTTTCTTGATAGGGGTGAACTGTTCCATCGCAAAAAGAAAAGAAAGGGTGAACTGCTGATGAACTCAATTAAACTCTCCTTGACCGACGATGACACCGCGCTTATCCATGAGTAACGTGCATCGTGGCCGCCGGGCGCTGCTCCACGCCTTCACGTGTTGCGGCTGGCCCAGGGCTGCCCACGTCGTAGCGATCGAGAGAGAGTCGAGTCAAACAAATGATTTTGACGTGCATTGTTTTTAATGATTCCGTGTCTCTAAAATGTCTTCTTCCGCGAAAGTCATATTCTACTCCCGAGCTCAAATGCTATCTTAACTATGAATAGTAAAATAAAAAAATGTAGGAAAAAAATTCTGATTTTTTTGAACTTTGACAAATGTTTTGCATGCATACCAAAATTCAGCACGAAATGACATTCGTGAAAGTCATGGCGAAAAAAAGATCAGCAGTCCAAAATGTTTTCAAAACTAGCATTTTTTGGTTTTTCTACATGACTTCCACAAATGTCATTTCATGTTGAAAGTTTGTAAGCATACAAAACATTTGTCAAATATTACCACAAAAAAATCAGTACTTTTTTACTGTTCATGAGGGAGCAGATACTCCACGTCCCTTCTTTCGAAGTTTCTTTGACAACCGATTAGTTTTTAGAGCTCCTCAAATATCATACATTCAAATTATACACACTCCTAGCACACTCGAGCATCCTTTTTTTTTCAAATTTATTGCTCATGGCAGGTGTAGATGAGTTTGGGTGCCAAAACGCCATCCTCTTGCCAGTTTTACTTCCACTTTATGTTTGATTGTCGCAGCCGCCACATCAAACGTTACCACTTCTTCCGTTCCAAATTACTTGCAGTTCTTATTCTATGAAGTTAAATTTCCTTATATTTGAGATTTGACCAAGTTTGTGAAAAAATGTGCTAATGTTCATGCAATCTCAAATATGTGTAAAAACATGTATTTTGATGACTCTAATGGAACTAGGTCAGATGCCCACTAAAAAAATGCCCATTTTAATCATCTGCTTGTCAGGCTGGCAAAAGAACCGCCGAACAGTTTATACAAAGATAAGAATGAGTAGTGCCTAGTTTCCCAATCATGAAAACTTCTACATGATGCCATCTGCACGACATAATACTGCATCTGAGTTGTCACCATAGTCTTCAAGACCAACTGACCAAGCACTTCCACAAGCTATGTGCTCATGGTTACCTCAAATCTCCAGGTCAACAGATATAAAACTCAAAGCACCTACCATTGGGTGCAAGTGCTTTCCTCCAACACAACTCCAGATGCCAATGCATCAGCAATGCTATCGAAAACAGGAATAGATTGAACATGAGCTGTGAATCCGGAACCCTTTTTATTTATTTATATGCACCAGAGGAATCAGGTCTGTACAGGTATACACCAAGTTTGTTGCTGGTTGCGCACAAGGACACGAACACAGTTGCAAGCTGACACAATGCGTGCAGCCAGGCCAGTTAAGGATCATATATACAGTGTGGGTGGGGTGGATTATTTGTCAACCAATGTCTGCAGGCTCTGGGCTCTTAGAACAGGTCCCACTGCCAGTAGATCTTGTCCACGATGCCTCCGCCGCTCCGCACGGCCACATGGAGGGTCTCCGATGCCGGAGGGACACCCCACAGCAACGGAACAGCCACCGACATGGTCAGCTTCTCCTGAAGGCCGTCACTGCTCGCCTTCTCTGCAGTGACAATCTGAGCAAAAATGGCACCCTTTTAAGTTTGAAAGGATGTTCAATTGGAGATAAAGCTTTGATTTTGCAGTTTGAGGAATTCAATGACTGCACTTTGTTAAGATTATAGCGGCACATATAGTTCCAGGGGTAACATAAGTACCTCGCCACCATGCTCCAAGACGGTATCTTCCACCACATCGCTTAGCATTTCAATAGACCGACAAAAGCCAAAGATGCATAATCTTCTACCCATGTCCAGGCCCTGATAGATAATACCGCATGGTATTACTATATGAAAACATAAACATCAAACACACATAAGTGATAAGAAACATTTACATTTGTAGCTGCTATGTTAAACAGTGCTCCAAGGCAAAGACTTTGATTTGGATCCATGTAAGAGCTCTCCTGAAACCGGCGGGGTTTGCCTTTTCCCTTTTGTTGCCTCTTCTGTCCAAATTTAACACACATGAGGATGGCATGCAAAATATTGATGACGCCAGGATAAAGCAACTTCAGCAAATATACATGAATAAACTTGAATCCGCAACAAAACAAAAAAGAAATGGTTGGGTCGATATTCCCAGGATACAAAAAATAATTGTAAGCTTTCAGGCAACTAGCTTTTGGTGAGTACAGTGGTACAAATGAATATGGTGCTCAAATATACTCCTATACGGTGCTGCTTTTCAAGGTTTTATAGTCTAGATTCCCATTAAATATGTTTTATTATTACATGATAACGTAAGTAAAATGTGAAAAGAGCTGAATCTTTTTAACGTACACAATAAAATTGTTATTGCCCCGAATGCAGTAACCAACAGTGTAAGCATGACTGTTTAATATACATTTCTCGGTGTTATATAATTTCCAGTTACATATATTTCCCGGTGTTATACACATTCCAGCTACCCATTCATGTCTGATCAAACTAAATAAAACCTGGCTTTGTGGTACAGTGAACAAATAGGAATAGCACAAAGTTATTTCCATGGAAACTAGAAGGACGGCATATATCATTAACATCTTCATGCGCACTGAATAACAGTGTTCACAATATGCATAACAACATCTCAGTCCCGAAATGAAGCTCCATTTCAGTTTTATTAACAAGGACCAACATGTTGCTGTTTAGTATGACGCGCGAGGGAGCTTAGTAGTTCCAGCTCAACAAGATTCAGTACCTCGGAGGCGGTGACTCGACGAGGCACCATGTTACCGCCTATCTGAACCAGCCCATCGGAAGTGAAGAGCGTGATTTTATCCTCTTGCACCCACTCGATATCTGCCAGGAGAAGCACACGCAGATCGAACCCGTCAGCGCGCACGGCATGGTACACACACAGATCAGTACAGGGACAGACAACCCCCATACGAAACAAATCGACATTCTGCCCAACGATGAGCACAGCAGCCTACCCCATTACCAACTACCATCTCACGGAGCACGAAACAGCAACCGCGGCATCAATATCACTCATCTCTCAACATTTAATAATAATAAGAAAGGCATCGCTGGTCAAAGCGCTCGGGCAACATCAGGGCAGCGATCCGGGGGCGGGAGTTTACCGAACCCGGTGGAGAGATCCAGGGGCTGCTCCCACGGGTAGGGCCCGTAGAGGTCCTCGGGCTCGCCCTTCCTCGCCCGGGCGCGCAGCCGCGACCCGGGGCGGC